GCCTCTCACCTTTTCACCTGCTCCTTCATTACTGTCATTTTTCTATGGTCACTGCAGATGCAGAGGCCCATTCTTGCACATGACACACATTACAGACCGGGAGCCAATCTCTCTCCTGAGCCACAACCATACTGAAGATACAGTTCCTTATCCTCAAGGAGTTCCATCAGATTATTCCACTCTCCAACTCTCTTGCCTCCTACATACCATCATGAATGCGGATTGAGTGTTTGCGTACCACAATATCACTCTCCTGATAGATGGGAATATCCATAACACAGGCACTCACATCACTGTGGCTACTCATCTCATTGGTCATCACAATATCACTACCAACGACAGATATATCATCCATCCTGCTGCCTGGAACATCTGCGCGCACATGGATATTCACTGTCTCTGGCACCGCACAGACCGGAGCCTACAACATCCTCTTCAAACCCCCAACCAATACATCAGCACTCTGAACCCGAGGAGGGACAGATTTCTGAGACAGAGGAACTGCAACTTGATGTTTTGCCAACAGATCAGTTATCGTCTTCTCCCAATGAGGTGGTTATTCCCGGTGACCAGTTGCCACCTGATGACCTGCAACAGTTTCAGGAACTTTTTAAGAGAGTGGCTGCCAGCCGAGAGATACATCTTACCGAGGTCCAAGACAAACAACACGGACTCCTTAAAAATCTCCAACTGTCTCAACACACAAAAATAGCAATCCCTATAGATGAGGCTATTATAGAGACTGTGGCCGAGATCTGGCAGACTCCCACATCAATAACTTCAACCAATAGGCAGGCAGAAAAGAAGTACTTTGTCCCATCCAAAGACGCAGAATTTCTCTTTTCCCACCCACAACCTAATTTGTTAGTGGTAGATGCAGCTCAGCAGAGGTCAAAACTTCTGCAACACAAGAATAATTCTATGGGTAAGGATAGTAAGCGCCTTGACATCTTTGGGCGTAAGATGTACTCATCATCGACCCTTCTCTTTAAAATAGCTAATTGTGAAGCGTTGCTTTTCAACCATAATTTCGATAATTATACTAAACTTGCCTCCTTATCTATACTGAAATCAATAGTACAAGAGGGCTGTGCTTAATTGGGAACCTCTCTCCAAATAGCCTTGGATATGGACGACACAGCAGCCTGCGCTTTGGCAACTTCCGTGGTCATGAAAAGGGTTTCCTGGCTTCAGACTGCTGCAGTTCCTTGTGAACAGCAGACAAAAGTGGAAGACCTCCCTTTTGATAAAAACAAATTATTTTCAGGAAAGACAGATGAGGCCTTACGTTCCAGTAAGGATTCAAGAACCACCCTTCGTACCTTGGGTATGTATACCCCACTGTACCGATGCAGACGATACACGCCATACCAATGGCACCGAGACTTTTCATACTCTAGATACCAACAACGGGGATTTGATCGACCCAGACCAAGGCAACGGCTGCAGAGGCGATGACCTCAGAACAACTGTAACCAGACTCAGCAGACAAGCAAACAGCAAGTTTGACTTCCAGGTTGAGGATTTGCAAGACTTCCCCCTGTAGGATCACCATGATTGAGCTACCCCAATCTTTCATCATTGGCTGAGACCATTTTACCACCGCTGGGCTGCCATCACATCAGATCGCTGGGTCCTAGAAATTGTGTCATCAGGCTACACCATACCCTTCCTAACACTATGTCCCACCTCCCCACCATCCCTGTCCCTCTTCAGGGACCCTTCTCACGAGAATCTGCTCAAAAAGGAGGTCCTCCATCTCTTAGACATTGGAGCAGTAGAGAAGGTTCCAGAAGAGTTCAAGGGCAAGGGTTTCTGTTCCCATTACTTTCTCACAACAAAAAAGACAGGTGGCTGGAGACCTATTCTAGACCTTCGCAGACTGAACTGATACCAACAAAAGCAATGATTCCAGATGATGACCCTAGCATCCATTATTCCAGCATTAAATCAGAGAGACTGGTTTGCGGCCCTCGACCTACAAGACACCTCCTTTCATGTTACCATACATCCAGCACACAGTTGATTTCAGTGCTTTGTGGTCAGATTGGAACACTAACAGTACCGTGACCTACCTTTTGGTCTGTCATTGGTGCCCAGGGTGTTTTCCAAGACACTTGCAGTTGTGGTGGCATACTTATGTCGACAACCAAATATGATTTTTCCCTACCTAGATGACTGTCTAATAAAAGGGCTAATAGATGCGGACACTCTCCATTTGATATCCATAATCAGATGCACATTCGACCTCTTAGGCCTTAATGAACAAAAATCAATGCTTCTGCCTACAAAAACCTTAGAGTTCATTGGAGCCCACCTAGATTCCACTATGGCAAGGGTGTACGTACCACTTCAGTGATTCAAAGTTATCCAAGACCTCGTATTTACTCTCACAAACAGCCCCAGAGCACCAGTACTTATCTGTCTTCAGCTCATGGGTCATATGGCAGCTACAACTTGTGGTTGCTCATGTGAGGCTTCATTTTTGCTGTCTTCAACTCTAGCTGTCCTCTGTTCACATTCATCAGAAGAGGGATGTACGCTGGCAAGTATCCCTACCTACCAACATTATAATGTCTCTAAAGTGGTGGACCAGTCCAAACAACTTACTTGCAGGAGTCTCATTCCTTCGGGATCAACCTACCATACAGTTTACTGCCGACACCTCCCTCATCAGATGTGGAGGCTATGTGGGAGACATGTCCATCCAAGGTCTATGGATGACCAAGGAATCTATTTTGCATATCAGTCTGTTGGAACTCAGGGCAGTTGCAAATGCATGAAGGCATTTTCTGCCACACATCCAAGGAACCACAGTGAGGATACTTACCCACAATGTCTCCACAATGTATTATAAATCAACAGGGCGGCACGCATTCTCACTCCCTGTGTGTCAAGTCGATTCGACTGGAACTGGGCATCCTCAATGCAGTTACCCTGACAGTTTCCTGCTTATCTGGGGTCAACAACGTGTTAGCGGACTGTCTCAGCAGACAAATAGATCTCTTTACTTTACAAAATGCCACCAATACTGTCCCAGGGCTGGCATAGGCCACGGATCTAGGATGCCTTTCTCCTCCATTGGAGGGGCCCCCTCTTTTATGCCTTTCCTCCTACACCACTCATTCCTCCTACTCCACTCATTCTTGAGAAAATCAACTGAGATGGTGCAATAGTGATTCTCATAGCCCCATCCTGGGCGCAACAAACGTGGTTTCCCTATCTTTATCAGATGTCTCCTCAACTGCCTTATCACCTTCCCACGTATCCCAATCTCCTAACCCAGAACAACAGGACCATAATGCATCCTCAACCCCATACACTACAGTTGATATCCTGGCTCATTGTTGGTTCCAAGAAGGCGAACTCCGCTGTTCAGACAAAGTGAGATGTCCTATTGCATAATAGGAAACAATCCGCTCGGTAGGAATCTGCACCATTTGTGAAGGTAAGTCTATCTTGGTGCTCCGCCAAAGAACTGGATCCATGTACAGCACCCTTACACCTTATTTTAGACTATATCCTACAGTTGAAAGAAACAGGGTTAGCCCTAGTGTCTTTGAAAGTATACTTAGCAGCGATCACTGCGTTCCACAGCTCAGTTGATGGTTCTTCAGTGTTTGCACATCCTACCACCAGGAGGTTCCTCAAACGCTTCTCCAGTCTGTATCCCCCACACAGGTTACCACCACCTGCGTGGAACCTGGGGCTGGTTCTTGACACTCTTAACCCGTGCTCCCTTTGTGCCAACAGCAACCACTCCACTTTCAATGATGATACTCCAAGTTACATTTCTGCTAGCCATCACCTCCCCCCACAGAGTTGGAGAAATAGCAGCCCTAATGGCAGTGCCACCATATATCATTTTCAGCAAGGAAAAAGTCACGCTGAGTCCACATCCATCTTTCATTCCAAAGACTTGCTCAAATTTCCACATAAACGAGCCAATAGTACTTCCATCTTTCTACCCAAAGCCACATGTGAGTGCTCGTGAGGCTTTGCTTCATTCGCTAGATGTGCATCGATCATTTGCCTTCTATTTAGAGAGAACTTGAACCTTTTGCAAAACAGACCATCTACTAATTTCAGTAGTGGAACACTGCAGGGGCCAACCTCTCTCATCACAACGGATATCAAACATTATTGTCACTTGTATTAAAAAGTGCTATGCTATACGGAATAAGCCACTGCAAGAGATGCTAAGAGCTCATTCTATGAGAGCTGTAGCAGCTTTCATGGTCTTCCTTCATGGAGTTCCTCTTAGAGATATTTGTCGAGAAGCCACATGGTACACTAACGATACCTTCATGAAACACTATGCAATTTCTCATAAGTTATCTGCTGACACTGCGGTAGCATCTGCAGTGCTCTCGATTGTCAATAAGCAGTGACTCCATTACCTGCATTCCTTATACTCAGGTACTGCTACACAGTCACCAACAGTGGAGCACCCACGGGGACACTATTTGAAGAAGAGGAAGTTACTCAACCTTGGTGCAGTAACAACAGTTCTTCGAGATGTGTCCCCCTGTGGGTGCTCCACTCCCTGCCCTCCTCCCCACTTTGGAGACTCTTATTATATCTTGCAGGTACTGGGGCAGACTTGAGGAACTGGCAGGAGCTGGACTGCATGAGAGATCATATGGTGCAAACAGCGCAAGGTGCATGCCGTGCATGCGCGGTCTGGCTGACAGCTGCTCATGAAAACTCTGATCTGCGGCGCCAGAACAACCTGACACTCAACAATGGAGCGCCCACGGGGGGACACATCTCGAAGAACCTTCGTTACTGCACCTAGGTGAGTAACTTCCTCTTCCAACCATTTTTGACTTGTAAATTATTCTTAGCAAATAAGCTGGGCTACCTCAGCTCTGAACTTTATCTCTTTGCGTCTTGATTGGAACTGGAATTAGAATAAAATTATGCAGTTTATCATTGGTTCTGTGTGGGTGTCTAAAGCATTTTATGTTCTGTTTGTCTCCTTTTCTTTTTTCTTGAAGGTTACTTGAGCATGCATTCTGCACTGAGTTCTCAGTCCTCTGTAGACAGTGAGCTTAGTACATCTGATGACTCCATCTCTATGGGATACAAGCTGCAGGACTTGACTGATGTCCAGGTTATGGCACGCCTACAGGAAGAAAGTATGTGTTGCAATTGGCATTGTAGGGAAATGCAGATAGATTTCAACTATCCAGACATACATTTACTACATTTTCTTTTATATGTTGCATTTAAATTCTGCAGCTTTAAGATGTCCATCTGAACCTGGGAAATGAGAACATTTTCAATTCATGACATTTAAACATAAAATCTTAATTTTATTTGGGCACAGGGTATCTCTGCACTGAGGTTTAAAACCATATTAGCATTTTTCTAGAGAGCCATGTTTTAAAATTTGCTTGCACCTTTCATGCAATAACATTTCATGTGTAGACCAGAGCCTGAGTCAAAAAGCAGAGTGCCAAATTGAAAGACTGCAATTAAAACTCAGATTTCTAGCTCTGGCCTTATGCTCAATCCACTACACATGTTGCAGAGGGCAAATATACCCATTGCCTCTTGTTTGGATTTTGAGGACCTGAACCAACTCACATGGAAGTCAATAGAAAGATTTCCTTAGGAGTCAATAGCAATTTTTCCATTGACTTCATTAGGAGAGAATTCTATTCATTCCCTTGAATAGAGTTGCAGAGGAGGAGCAAAGTAATGTGTAGCATTTGGGCTATCTAATAATTCAGTTTTTCACTTTCTGTAAATCAGATTGCTGCAAGGTGATGTTTAGGTTCTTATGTAAACCTTCTGGAAAATATTTACTTCCTTTGTATTGTTGTTTTAAAAAGCTAAAACTACTAACAACAAATAATAATTGGAACAGGAGATCAAAAAGCACAAATCAGGGGTCAGAATATGATCCCTTTGCATTGATTAGTATTTGATTCATAGAATCATAGAATACTAGGACTGGAAGGGACCTTGAGAGGTCATCAAGTCATAAGAACATAAGAACGGCCATACTGGGTCAGACCAAAGGTCCATCTAGCCCAGTATCCTGTCTACCGACAGTGGCCAGCACCAGGTGCCCCAGAGAGGGTGGACCGAAGACAATGATCAAGCGATTTATCTCCTGCCATCCCT